ATCATATTTGAGAGAATTGCATGAAATTCAAATCAGAAAACATGTCTGGCAACATGTGTGGGGCCACTGGCCTTATATGCAAGATCCCTCGCCGCACATGCAGATCCTCCCAGCAATAACTTAGGTTTGCTCTTGTTGCCGCACGTGTGGAACTCCCTGTTGCACATGCAAAGCCTCCCACCACACGTGCAGGCCCTTGCCCTAGAAAACTCAATTCATCTTGCACCAATCCGCACGTGTGGGCCCTCCTAGCCGCACGTACGTGAATCCCTGACCAGCCTAAAATTTTATTAAAGTCTCCCACACTCTCTGATTTGGTTCTTATGCCCGAAACTCAAAAATTTTAACTCGGTCTTGCGTTAAGAAGATTAAACAAGTTCGAATTCCTAAACATCGACGCAACATAACCCCTCAAGGGTCCAAAAAAGAAAATTGTGAGTCCGAAAGGCACATTCAAGTCGGGTCCAAGACCCAGAACATCACACTCCACCTCATCAAAGACAAACCTATTCATCTTTCCACTAATCTCAAGTTTCATAAACTACAAAGTGACCCTAAAATTTTAGTATAATTTTATAGTTAAACTTTTAAGTTTAGCATAATTTTGTAAAAATTTAATTTTCACTTTGTAAGATGTTGTGAGACCCTCAATCTTGGTATCAGAGCCTAAAATCGAATCTATGAATAATTTAAAAAATGAAACTTCAATGTTTAATGCAGGATATAATAGAAGTAAACAACTTTATACATCTTGATCATTCAAATAGTAAAACTGAAATCACAGGACTATTAAATATTCTAATGGAGGTTAGTAAAGAAACTTTAAATATTTGCATAAATCAAAATATCATGATTACTAAAATATCTAAAGAGTTAAGAGAAATAAAAGAAATTTCTCTTAAAAATAAAAAAGAAAGTTTTATTAAAAAATTTTAAACTTCTTTTGCGGTTATTGAAAAAATCAGGATGGTAGTAGTACATCCACACCAAAAACTCCTTTAGACGGAATATCTTCCGAAGATCTTCAAAAATATTTGAACCTATATATGGATAATTATGAAAAGAAAAAGCGCTTAAAAAACCAATAACTGATTCTATTGACCTAGCAGAGTTAAAAGAACAACACTATCAATCATAAAGAAAAGTTGAAATATCTGAAATAAATAAAACATTTGAAAATTTTTGTTTTTGAAGAAATCCAAATTTTATGAATATCTTTGGAGATAATGAAGAAAAATCTTCTAAGCAGGAAATAAAATCAAGAAAAAGAGAACCATTAAAGACACATTTAAAATATGACTTTATTCACAAAGCTGCAAAAAAAAACTGAGTCTATTACTAAATATGGAATATATCTTGATTTGGACTGTGTAACTAACATAGAAAAGGTTATAGATAATTGGATTCAAGCAGTAAGAATTGTAGTGGCAGGACAAGCTATAAACACCAGTGGTTTAAATGTTTATGTAAAAGCTACTCTAAGAGGTCAAGCTGCAAAATACTCTATTAGGTAATGATAATATAAAAGCTCAATGGTTAGCATTAATTACTGTTGAGGAAAGTATCATGTTTATGGTAGATAACTTTAAATTAGAATTTTGTGGAGCTGCCCTTATAGTCAATGAGAATTCAGGAAAAAATAGCATTTACAAATCTAAGATACAAATATGTGATATGTGCTATTTTTAAAATTATGTTTGTGAATATAAAAAATGTTATATAAATTAGACCTTAAAGATATTAATTATTGGCAAAAACAATTATAGCCAAACTTCCTAAACCATGGGATGAACTATCTTAAATAGAGTTTGAAAGGTTATTAGAAAATAATCAAATCTATGATTCTTTAGGTGGAAGAATAGTTTCTGTGTGAGAACTTAAAGAGAAATATTGTGCAGAACGATAAGCTATAAAGATATAACAAAAGACATAATTGGATTATAGCTGTTGTTCAAAAATAGACAGTAGGGCAGGAAGCTATGGTTGTAATAAGAAACCCAAACCATTGGCGAAGAAGAACAAATTTGTGAAAATTTTGAAAAAATTTTAGAAAAGAAAATTTAATCCTTATTAAGAAAAACTAAAACCTTGGGGTAGATATATTAGAAAGAAATTTAATAAACTCATAACAAATAAAAAGTATCTATATCCAAAAAGAAAAACTCCAGAAGAAAATAAATGCTGGCTTTGTGAAGAAAAATAACATTTTGCAAATAAATGTACTGTTAATAAAGAAAATAACATGTTAAACAAATATTATTTTTTGAAGAAAAATATGAACCAATATGGGGATATGAAATAGAATCTGACGGTGAAGTAGAAGAATTCATGTCAGAATCTGAATATAGTCCTGATGAAAACGATGAGCAAAGCTTGGAAGAAACTGACTTAAACTACTTTTATGATGAAAATAGATTTAGATGAGGAGAATGATATGATCCATCTTCCTAAGTTAGGCGAAAGTGAATCATTCGAACTTGAGGAACAAGAATTTTTCGTAAATGATTGAAAAATGCCAAAAAATCCAATTAAGAAAATTTATATAAACTCAATCTTCAAACCTCAAACCAAAATGAACGTAGAAATCTTTGAAGGAAGAACTTCAATTTGTAATACAAAAGAAACATATGTACATATACTATTGTTTTATGTCAATAAAATCAAACAATATCGTAACAAAAAATATAATTACATTCATTTAGGACTTATACAAGTTAGTATATGTCACGACCTGAGGTTTAGGCCGTGACTGGCCAATAATCCCATATTACCTCTAGCCTCAAAGACAAAACTAATAATTAATAAATATAATGGAACCATGCGGAAGCAATATTAATTATAGACATGACCATTGACGTGCATGTATGAGAGTCTGTATACAATTTAACATCAACATCTCATAGATGTAAATACAAAGGTACGCCAAACATCTTACACTAATACACTTATACAAAATCCGTACATAATAACTTCTAAAAAAAAAGACAACAAAAACAAAGTAACATGATCCACTTGGTTGACACAACTTGGCTCCGCATGAGACCAAGATCGACCCATCACAGAGGCACTCCAAAGCGGCTGACAAAAGGGTGGACTCTCGATGTTACCTTATGCCTGATGCTCTACTTACTCACCTACATATAAATAGGGAAAGGGGGTGAGCTAAAACCCAGTGAGTAATACCAATATAAAGAGGTTCAAATGAATAATGCGATACATTAGATATCATATTCATATGCGGTACATCCAATATTTTACGATGGGACCACATAGGTCACACATAGGGACCCCTTGGGTCTACAATAGAGATCTCTGTAACGATGGGCCACAATATTGTTACCCTTGGGCCAGGGCCATATAGCACAGGCCACGGTATTGTTACCCCCGAGCGAAAGCCGCAGGCTGCGATGTTGTTTCCCCCAGGCGAGGGCCGTAGGCCACGGTATTGTTCCGCTCGGGCGAAGCCTGTAGGCCATAGTATTGTTAACCCCAGGCAAGGGTTGTAAGCCACGGTATTATTACCCCCGGGCGAGGGTTACAACCCATAGTATTGGTACCCCCAGGCAAGGGTTACACTAAGGATGCCACAATTACATTTTGAAAGAGACAATCATTCATTGTAACAAAATAGCATTTCAAAATAATGAACTTGCGGTAAACCAAAACTCTCTTTAATAATAGTTCTTTACAAAAGTACTACTCACAGTGGGCTGGTATTGATGATAGACCTCGGTTGACCTCCTACACAAAGAACATAGCACAATATACATTAAACACACATTCGCAACAAGTAACATATCTTAATTATTCTCTTACGTGTGTTCCTCGCTTATTCCATGTTTAAGGATGTTCAAATGAGACCTAAGAATGCCTAAATGGTCATGAGGATGCAAATATGAACTTAAAAGAGTTAGTCAAAAGTTGGTGAAAACAGGGCCTTCGCTCGAGCGCACACTTGGTCGCTCGAGCTGTCTGCAAAGACTACAAAAGTACTAGATGCTCAATTTTTACGCTCAACGGTCGCTCGAGCCAAGTGCTGAATAAAAATGGGTTCACTCGAGCGTACACTTGCTCACTCTAGCCAACAACCAAATGTCTGCAAAAATGCTGGATGCCTTCGTTTTTTGCTCGAGTGATGAATCCTTCGCACGAGCGAACTGGACTAATTTTGGATTTTCCAGATTTGTGTTTGAAGTTCAAAAACAAAGCTCTCATGTCCAAACCTTGAATGGTTGGTTTCAAAAGCTTAGAAACACTTTGTAAAACATGTATCTTTGGAAAATATGAAACCATGACCTCAACTCCCCTTTCAATTCTTCGAAACCAAACTCAAAACATCATGTCCTCAACATGCATGTGACACACTTAACTCTGTTCTTTCTAAAACATGTATAAGTGAAATGTTGAGTGCAAAAACATGAAGAACTCTAAGAAATAACTTGAGTAAGGCTCATGCATGTGTGAATTTGACAAAACCAAGTTCAAAAGATGAAGAATTATGTATGCATGTACACAATTCACTCAAATTCACCAAAGCCTTGTTAAATCATTCTCATTTCTTTCAATTACATGCGAATGGTCCTACAAAGTGATGAATTCATCTTCGTACATGGATTAACTTCATGTATTATAAGTGAGAATTATACCTACTTAAATCAGGCCTTAGTTAAGCTAATCCTCTTCAATTCCCCTTAAGCCTCTTGAATTCTCTTTTCTCTCTCTGCAAATGTTGAACTCTCTCTCTAGCTCTCCAATTTTAAGCACAAAGTTGATGCAAAATGAAGTCTAAGAATGTTTAACAAATATATAGGGTGATTAAGGCCTCACTAATCATCTATGCTTAAGGCTAATCAAGAGGGCTTAAATGTAATCAATTATGATTATTCTATTCTAATTATTTTGATCCAAATAAAAATTTAATTAAACTTACCATATGATTCTGAAAATTCCAACAAGCCTGTTGAATTAACCAATTTTGATTTTTGAATTCATTTGGGCTTTCAATTTCGAATTCTAAGTCGGCAATAAAACTGATAATTCATAAACAAACAGATAAGTGTCAAATAAACACATAAAACACATAATTATCTTAATAAAATAATATGTAAAAAAATATGATACGAAGGTTGGGGTCATTACAGTCTTCCTCTCGTAAGAAGTGTGGTTCTCCATGCTTAAGTTATCCCTATTTGGAAACAGATACTGGTATAGTTGCTGCATTTCTTCTTCTTTTTCCCAGGTAGCCTCTTTCCCGTACTGTTCCCTCCATTCTACTTTCACCATTGGGATAGATTTATTCCTTAGTTGCTTCACTTGCCGATCAAGGATCAGTACTGGCCATTCCTGGTATCTCATATCACCATCTAAGGCTATTCGGTGGTAGTCACTTATATGAAACGGATCTCTAAGACATTCATGAAGCATTGATACATGGAAAACGTTGTGTATTTGCTCTATTCCCGACGGTAAAGCAATATCATAAGCAATGAGACCAAGCCTTTCCAAAATCTGAAATGACCCAATATACCATGGAGTTAATTTCCCTTTTCTGCTGAATCTTGTTTGCTCTTTCAATGGTGTCACTTGAATAAACACATGATCCCCCACTTCATATTTCACTACAACGAAAAAGGCCTTTGGTGACGGACTGATTTTGTCTCCAAACATCGAATTTTTGTCACTAAAGTGATCTGCGACAAAAAAATTTGTCACCACGTTTGTGGCGTCTACGTTGTCGCTGAAAGTACCTGGTGACGAAAAACAGTTTCGCTGCCTATTTTTCATTTTTGGTGACGAAATGTTTCGTCTCCAAATATTGAATTTTTCGTCCTCTAAAACATCAATTTCGTCACAAAGCTAAATAATATTTTATTTTAATTGTTTTTGGCGACAAAATATTTCGTCACCAAATAGATTTTAGTGACAAAAGTTTTCCTCACCAATGATATGGATTAAGGTGACAAAAAAATTCATCACTAAAACGAGCAGAAAAGAAAATTATTCGATGAAAAAAAACATTTTGTCACCAAATATTTCAATTTAGCGACGAAATATTCAAGAAATGTGACAAAATTATTCGTCATGTTTTTTGAAAAGTAATAGCGACATTTTTCATTTCGCCGCTAATAAAAATTAAAAAAATTTAAAAGGGGGGTACTATTTTCAGATTAAATTTTTTTCTTTTCAGTAAAAATTCCGTGCGCATTTCAATAACATGTTCAATAACCTGTGCAATAACCTGTTCAATAAAATATCTATTACAAATCAATACAAAAATCTGTGTATTTTCATAAACATCACAATCGAATTTTAGCACTATCCACAAAAATACAATATGAACTGCATGCGGATTATAAACATGTCTTCTAATATCCCCAAAAAACATGTCTACTAATATCCTAAAAAATATAATATCAACCGCATGCGGACTACCAAACACGTCTCCTAATATCCACAAAAAACATGTTTACTAATATCAACAAAATAAAATATCAAGTGTGGATTACCAAACATATCCTGTAATACCAACAAAAATATAAAATTTACAACGCAACCAAAATACATGTAAGGTAATATGAACACAAATACAAAATGAGCTAGCTTCTGCTCTCCAAATTACCAAACAAGTCCATATCAAATCTCCAATCTGCAAAAAAATGAAACACACATAAAAAATAAAAATGAAAAAGAAAAAAGAGATGCAAGTTAGACAATTATTATCTTATCAATTAAATATACAATTTAACATGTATTTTTGGACTTAGTTTTCAAACCGGGAGTTCCGTGCTAGTTCTGTAAGTTTCCACAACTTACTTTGGTCCCTCCCGAGGTGTTTGAGGTGTTACCCGAGCCATCTCATGGCTATTACACGATTTTGGCCTCCGATGGCCTATTTTTCAAGCTTAATTGTCGCTGAAAGCGCATTTTTGGACTTAGTTTTCAAACCGGGAGTCCCATGCTAGTTTCATAAGTTTTCACAACTCAAATTTGTCCTTCCCGAGGTGTTTGAGGTGTTACCCAGGCCGTCTCGTGGCTGTTACACGATTTTGGCCTCCGATGGCCTATTTTTCAAGCTTAAGTGTGAAAAAATGCATTTTTGGACTTAGTTTTCGAACCGGCAGTCTTGTGCTAGTTCCACAAGTTTTCACAGCTCACATTGGTCCCTCCCAAGGTGTTTGAGGTGTTTCCCAAGACATCTCGTGGCTGTTACACGATTTTGGCCTCCGATGGCCTATTTTTCAAGCTTAAGTGTGAAAAAGTGCATTTTTGGACTTAGTTTTCGAACCGGGAGTCCCGTGCCAGTTCTGTAAGTTTTCAAAACTCACATTGGTCCCTTCCGAGGTGTTTGAGGTGTTTCCCGGGCCGTCTCGTGGCTGTTGCACGATTTTGGCCCTCGAAGGCCTATTTTCAAGCTTAAGTGTGAAAAAATGCATTTTTTGACTTAGTTTCGAACCGAGAGTCCCGTGCTAGTTTTGTAAGTTTCCATAACTCACATTGATCCCTCCCGAGGTGTTTAAGGTGTTACCAGGCCGCCACGTGGCTGCTGTATGATTTTGTTGTCCGATGGCCTATTTTCAAGCTTAAGTGTGCAAAAGTGAATTTTTGGACTTAGTTTTCAAACCTGGAGTCCCGTGCTAGTTCCATAAGTTTTCACAATTTACTTTGGTCCCTCCCCAGGTGTTTGAGGTGTTCCCTAGGCCGTCTCGTGGCTGTTGCACGATTTTGGCCTACGATGGCCTATTTTCACGATTAAGTGTGAAAAAGTACATTTTTGGACTTAGTTTTTGAACCGGGAGTCCCGTGCTAGTTCCGTAAGTTTCCACAACTCACATTGGCCCCTCCCAAGGATTTTAAGGTGTTACCCAGGCCGTCACGTGGCTGTTGCACGTTTTTGGCGTCCGATGGCCTATTTTCATGCTTAAGTGTGCAAAAGTGAATTTTTGGACTTAGTATTCAAACCGGGAGTCCTGTGCTAGTTTCACAAGTTTTCACAACTTACTTTGGTCCCTTCGCAGGTGTTTGAGGTGTTCCCTAGGCCGTCTCGTGGATGTTGCACGATTTTGGCCTCTGATGGCCTATTTTCAAGCTTAAGTGTGAAAAAGTACATTTTTGGACTTAGTTTTTGAATTGGGAGTCCCATGCTAGTTCTGTAAGTTTCCACAACTTAATTTGATCCCTCTCGAGGTGTTTGAGGTGGTACCCAGACCGTCTCATGGCTGTTACACGATTTTGGCCTCTGATGGCCTATTTGTCAAGCTTAAGTGTGAAAAAGTGCATTTTCAGACTTAGTTTTCAAATCGTGAGTCCCGTGCTAGTTCTGTAAGTTTCCACAACTCACATTGGTCACTTTTGAGGTGTTTAAGGTGTTACCCAGGCTGTCACATGGCTGTTGCGTGATTTTGGCCTCCGATGGCCTATTTTCAAGCTTAAGTGTGAAAAAGTACATTTTTGGACTTAGTTCTCGAACCGGGAGCCCTGTGCTAGTTCCATAAGTTTCCACAACACACATTGGTCCCTCTTGAGGTGCTTAAGGTGCTACCCAGGCTGTCACGTGGCTGTTGCACGATTTTGGCCTCCGATGGCCTATTTTCAAGCTTAAGTGTGAAAAAGTGTATTTTTGGATTTAGTTCTCGAACTGGGAGCCCCGTGCTAGTTTCGTAAATTTTCACAACTTACTTTGGTCCCTTCCGAGGTGTTTGAGGTGTTACCTGGGCTGTCTCGTGGCTGTTACACGATTTTGGCGTCCGATGGCCTATTTTTCAAGCTTAAGTGTGAAAAAGTGCATTTTTGGACTTAGTTTTCGAAGCGGGGGTCCCGTGCTAGTTCCGTAAGTTTTCACAACTTACTTTGGTCCCTGTCGAGGTGTTTGAGGTGTTACCCGGGCCGTTGCGTGGCTATTGCACGATTTTGGCCTTCGATGGCCTATTTTCAAGCTTAAGTGTGAAAAAGTGCATTTTTGGACTTAGTTTTCGAACCAGGAGTCCTAGTTCCGTAAGTTTCCACAACTTACTTTGGTCCCTCCCGAGGTGATTGAGGTGTTCCCTGGGCCTTCTCGGGGTTGTTTAACGATTTTGGCCCCCTGATGGCCTATTTTCAAGCTTAAGAGTTGGAAAAAATGCATTTTTAGACTTAGTCTTCAAACCGGGAGTCCCGTGCTAATTTCGTAAGTTTTCACAACTCACATTGGCCCCTCCCGAGGTGTTTGAGGTGTTACCCAGACCGTCTCGTGGCTATTGCACGATTTTGGCCTCTGATGACCTATTTTCAAGCTTAAGCGTGAAAAAGTGCATTTTTGGACTTAGTTTTCAAACCGGGAGTCCCGTGCTAATTCCGTAAGTTTCCACAACTTACTTTGGTCCCTCCCCCCGAGATGTTTGAGGTGTTACCCGGGCCGTCTCGTGGTTGTTACATGATTTTGGCCTCCGATGGCCTATTTTCAAGCTTAAGCATTAGAAAAGTTCATTTTTTGACTGAGGTTCATGCCTGCATGTTGGAATAGTACAAATTTCAAAGTAGTTTTCTAATTGGGAGCCACGTGCATATTTCAGTGCTTGTGATGTTTCTCGGGCTTTTACATGCATATGTCACTATATTTGTTGAAGAAGAAACTTCTACTAAATTAACATAGAAACATAATATACTAACCAAGAAGTGCAATTACGAGTCTTATGACCGATAAACCATAAATCAAAGTCAAAAGGAGCAAAATATTAAAGGGGAAAAAAAATGCACCCAAATGTTGATTGTTGACAAGTAACCAGATGTTGTTTAGGATACTTGTCTTAAGGAGAAAATAAATAGTACATTTTCCAGTATTTCTTGCAAATCAATTGTGTACAAAATTTAACTCTATCAAGGAATATGTAAAAGTTTATGTTCCTTTTCTCTGGTAAATATGCATCTAAAGGGAGAAACTAATTCTCTCTTCTTTTTTTCTTCTTTCTCTTCTTCTTCTTCTTTTTAAAAAAAAAAACCAAAAAATAAACTAGAGGAAGAAGTTAGGGATGTTTGCACTAGAAATTGATTGGGGAAAATCTGCACATAAACAACTAAACCTAATGATTCAGCTCCTAAATATATTGACATTGCACAAACCACCGAATCTAAAAGCTAGCTATATTTCACAATCGTAATTCTGTCACGATCTAGATCACCGATTTTGACTCTGAAATAGGCTACACGTAGTCGTCACAAGTCAAAATGACAGTCAAAGATTCAGTAAATCTCGCTTCAAGCGAATCGCAAAGTGTCGTAGATCATAAAAACAAAGACAACAGAAACTGAAAATAGATCAAGAAATTGAGAAATTCACCTTCAATGGCCGAGAAATCCTTGCACAAATCGCTGGCCACAGAGCGAATTTCAATCGTGAGGCGAGAGACATCGGAGAGAGGAGTGAAGGGGTACTTGTCGTAATAAGAAGCGAGAAAAGCCCCAGTTATCGGAACCAAACTGTCCATGGAAGCCATTGAAGAGACGAATGCAAAGAGATCGATCGATCGATCGAATTGTGAAAAAGAAGAACCGATTGCTGTCTAGCTGGTTCTATAGGCGCCAATACATTTTTATTTCCCTCTAAAATATTTAGCAACTAAATCATTTATTTGTGACAAAATTATTTCTTCACCAAAGATAAAAATATTGGCCACAAAAATAGTTTTGTCACTAAATGATATTAAAATATTAAAAATTATTGGTGACAAAAATATATTTATCATTAATAATTTTATAATTGGTGACCAATTTTTTCGTCACCAAAAGTCTCAAAATTTTGGTACCCTCTGAAAAAATTAGCGGGAAAATCTTTGGTGACAAAAAAAATATAAATAATGACGAAAAATAATTTCATCACCTAATTTTTTTTATTATGATTTAGATTGGTGACGAAATTTTATTTTTGTCTCTAAAAATGATACATTTGGAGATGAAATATTATTTTCGTCATTAACAGATACGTATTTCGTGACAAAATTTATTTTCGTCATTAGTTTTCGTCTCTAAAGACTATTTTTGTTGTAGTGTTTCTAATCTCTCCTTCTCTAATCAGCATAACTTTTCTGTCAGCTTTAAGCAGTCTTGAGCCTCTATTGGATAATCTTTATCTTTTCAGTTGTATCTTGCATAAGTTCAAATCTATGCAAAGCTCTATCATTAACCTCGGTCCAGCAAATCGAAGACCTACACTTTCTACCATACAATGCCTCATAAGGCGCCATGCCGATACTCGAGTGGAAACTGTTGTTATAAGCAAATTCTACCAATGGTAGGTAAGTTTGCTAATTGTTCTGGAGTTCTAAGACACACATACGAAGTTTGGATAGTTCTCTCGGTTTGCTCATCGATTTTTGGATGAAGGGTTATGCTAAATCTCAACTCTGTACCCATTGCCTGTTGCAAACTTTATCAAAATCTAGAAACAAATTTACGGTCCCTATCTGACACAATAGATACCAGAACCCCGTGTAATCAAATAATCTCATCAATATAAGTAGTGGCAAGTCTATAGGCATTAAACGGAGTTTTCACAACAAGAGAATGAGTAAATTCCATCAATCTATCAACAATAACCCAAATAACATTCATACCTCTAGATGCTCGAGGTAGATTGACAATGAAGTGCATGGTTATATTTTTCCATTTCCATTCTATAATAGGAAGAGACTAAAGCAAACCTGCAGGTTTCTGGTGTTTAGCTTTCACTTGTTGGCATTGAAGGCATTTGGAGTTGTAATTAGCAATCTAGTACATTTGTTTCAAGTCTTGGTACATCTTGGTATTCCTCGGATGCATAGCAAACATTGACTTGTGAGCTTCATCTAGAATTCTTCTTTTCAATTCGACGTCATTAGGAACACAAAGCCTGCCTTGGAATTTCAAAATTTGTTCTTCAATGGAGAAGCCCAATTTGGGCTTAATTTCAAACTCATTACACACTTTGTTTAGAAATTGGGCATCTCTCTGTTTCTGTTCAATTTCTTCAATAATGGCCGATTGTGCATACATGGTGGCCAAAACATTATCTTGCCCAGAATTCACAGCTTCTATCTCAAGTCTGTCTAGATCTTGCAGAAGTTCTTTTCGGTCAGTCAACAAACAAGCCAAGGTTCCCGTACTCTTTCTGCTCAAAGCATCAACCCCTGTGTTAGCTTTACCCAGATGGTAGTGGATTTGCAGATCATAGGCTTTAATCAACTCAAGCCATCATCTCTGCTGCATATTTAGCTTTTTTTGGGTAAAGAAATATTTCAAGCTTCTATCGTCGATGTATACTTTACACTTGGCCCCATACAACTAGTGGTGCCAGATTTTCAATGCAAATACTACTGCGGCATGATCTAAATCATGTGTTACGTAGTTCTTTTCATGTGGTTTTAGTTGTTGAGATGCATACGCAATCACTTTGCCATTCTACATTAAAACACAACCCAAACCTCTATGAGATACATCACTGAAAATTACAGACCCTTTTGTACCTAATGGTAGGATGAGGATTGAAGCCGTAGTCAATCTTGTCTTCAATACTTGGAATGAGGATTCCCTCTGATCAATCCACACAAATGGTTCTCACTTCCGGGTCAATTGTGTTAATGGTATAGCTATTTTGGAGAAGTCTTTGAAAAATCTCTGATAATAACCTGCCAAACCCATAAAACTATGAATTTCTATTACGTTAGTCAGATTAGGCCAGTTGACAATCACCTCAATTTTCTGTGGGTCAACAGATATCCCTTTTCTATTAATAACATGCCCCAAAAATGTAATTTCATTCAGCCAAAATTCACATTTCTTTAGTTTCTCATACAGTTGTTTCTCCCTGAGTGTTTACAGAATTATTCTAAGATGTTGTTCATGTTCTTCTCTACTCTTTGAGTATATCAAGAGATCATCAATAAAAACTACAACACACATCCAAAAACGGTTTAAAGATTTGGTTCATTAAATCCATGAAGGCTGCTGGTGCATTAGTAACTCCGAAAGGCATAACTAAAAATTCATAGTGTCCATAACTGGTCTGGAAGGTAGTCTTCTTTATGTCTTTAGTCTTAACTATTAACTGATGGTATCCTAAACGCAAATCAATCTTTGAAAATACTTGAGCCCCCGGTAACTGGTCAAACAAATCATCAATCTGAGGCAAAGGATATTTATTTTTTATGGTAACCTTGTTGAGTTACCTGTAGTCGATACACAAACGGAGTGTTTCATCATTCTTCTTTACAAACAATACAGGGGCACCCCATGGTGATATGCTCGGCCGGATAAACCCCTTACCAAGCTGTTCTTGCAACTGTACTTTCAATTCTTTCATTTCAGCAATTGATAGACGATATGGAGTTTTGGATATGGGTTGAGTACCAGGCATTATATCAATTACAATTTCAATTTCACTATTAACTAACCGCCCAGGCAACTTTTCTGGAAACACATCAAGAAAATCTTTCACAACCGGTAGATCATCTAAAGCAACATTTGAAGACTGAATACTCAAAACATTACACGAATACCCTAACACCCTTTGTTAATTAGTTTTCATGCTTTCATGGCAGAAATTAGGTAAGGTGGGGGAACTACACCTCTCTCCTCAAAATAAAACTCAGTTTGTCTCGGTGGTCGGAATATTACACGTTTAGATGCACAATCAATGGTCACATAATATTTGGACAACCAGTCTATACCCAAAATAATATCAAAGTGAGTCATGTCTAAGGGCAACAAATCAACATATAGTGTAGCATTCTGAAGTTAAATTTCACAAGCAAGGTAAAAGGTTGAACATAGCATAGATACCCCTGACGGTAATGACACACATAATATATATTTCAAAGTTTCCAATGGTCTATTCAAGTTAGAAGCAAATCGCATTAAGACAAAAGAGTGGGTAGATCCCGAATCAATTAAAACATACGCATACTGCCCACAAATTGAGAGTGTACCTGAGACTACAGTTTTTGCATTTTGAGTGTCCCTTGGTACAAGAGAAAAAACCCTTCCTTATCTCTGATTATCCATATTACAGCCAGAATTGCATTGGCTCTTACATTTGGCGCTGATGCGGTTGGGTTCATAGCACCCCGATTGTCACATTTCCGTGATTGCGGACATTCCCTTGCTATATATCCCATCTTTCCACACTGAAAAGAAGCCTCGGTGATTCGGTAACACATACCCCGGTGCTTTCTCCCACAGTCCGAACAAACAGGTGCTGAATTACCACTCTGATTGGAGCTACTAGAATTTCCTAACTTGCCTTCTTGGTTGTTGCTCAAGTTGCCCCTTTGTTCACACTCAAATTTTGCCTTTTGCCTCTCCATTCAAAGTTTCGGTTATAAGTTGCCAAGTTTGTTTCTCCATCAACATATTTAGGCAGTTTCAAAACATTATTTCTATCAAGAATTGCATCCCGTAGACCTTACTCAAATTTTCTGGCTTTCTTATAGTTTGTGTCGACCATATGCGGTGCAAATCGTGCTAATTTTGTGAACTGATCCTCATATTCTGCCATTGATTTGTTCCCCTGCTTTAACTGTTCAAACTCTGTCACTTTGTTTTTTTTGGTCCCGAACACATTGCGGGAAGTACTTCTCGTAGAAGATCTATCGAAATTGACCCCAATTGATTCCCTTGTTAGTATCTCGTACTAACATCCACCATCTTCTTGCTTCATCTTCGAGTGTAAACGCAGCTAACAACACTTTTTGTGTTTCCGTGCATGGAAACACCTCAAACAACTTCTCAATCCCCAATACCCAGGCCTCAACCTTTAGCAGATCATTTCCATCGCGAAGTAAGGGCAGTTTCATCTTTTTGAACTCTTTGGTGAGGGCAATGGTTTTGTCTACATTCTGATGGTCCGATACCGGTGGTACAAGTATTGGAGGTGGGGGGTGGTGGTTGCTATTGTTGACATGATTGTTCCTGTTTTAGGCTTTCAGCCATGTCATGCATCATTTTCTCCATTTAGTCAAGACGGCCAATTCATCTCCTCTTGTTCTCATCATTATCTATATGAAACTTGTATTATAACAAATACATTGTATGCACACATATACATATACACATACACATTTTCAATATAAATACCTCATCTTGTTACTCAAATGCATATGAATACGATCCTTAAGTCTTACTAGACACCTTATTGCTCAATGGACTGGTGAGTGAGTATAACTCGCGCTCTGATACCACATTGTCACGACCCGAACCTACCCCTAGAGGTCTAGGCTGTGACCGGCTAGTAATCCCAGATTGCCTCCAGCCTCAAAGACAAAACTGATAATTAATAAATATAATCGGACCTTGAGGAAGAAATATTAATTATAGACATGACCATTGAACAATGCATACATGAGAGTCCGTATAAAATTTAACATCAACATCGCATAGATGTAAATACAAAGGTATTTCAAACATCTTACACTAATACACTTATACAAAATATGTACATAATAACTTCCAAAAACAAACAAAACTAACATAAAATAACATGATGCACTTGGTTGACACAACTTGGCTCTGCATGAAACCAAGATCACCTCGTCATGGAGGCACTTCAAAACGGCTGACAAAAGGGTAGACTCCCAAGGTTACCTTAGGTCTGGCGCTCCACTTGCTCACCTACATATATATAGGGGAATGGGGTGAGCTAAAGCCCAGTGAGTAATACCAGTATAAAGAGGTTTAAATGAATGATGTCTATCATTGTACAAAATCATATCACATGAGTTCCAATCATATCATAAGCGATTACTTGTCATATCAAAGTTCACAAATCATATTCATATGTCGTACATCCAATAGTGCATGATGGGACCATATAGGTCTAACATACATAGGGACCCCTTGGGTCTACATTAGAGATCTCTGTAACAATGGCCCACGGTACTGTTACCCCTAGGCAAGGACCATATAGCATAAGCCACAGTTTTTTTACCCCCAGGCAAGGGCCGTAGGCCACGGTATTGTTACCCCTAGGCAAGGGTCATAGGCTGCGGTATTGTTACCCTCGGGCAAGGGTCGTAGGCCTCGATATTGTCACCCCTAGGCGAGAGCCGTAGGCCACAATATTGTTACCCCCGGGTGAGGGCCGTAGGCATTGGTATTGGTACCCCCAGGTGAGGGCTACACAAAGGATGCCACAATTACATTTTGAATGAGACAATCATTCATTGCAACGAAATAGCATTTCAAAATAATGAACTTGTAGTAAACCAAAACACTCTTTAATAACATATCTTTACAAAAATACTACTCACAGTGGGTTGGTACTGATGATAGACCTCGGTTGATCGCCTACACAAAGCACATAGTACAAATACACATTGAACACACATTCAAAACAAGTAACGTATCTTATTTATTCTCTTACGTGTGTTCCTCACTTATTCCATGTTTAAGGATGTTCAAATGAGGCTTAAGAATGCCTAAATGGTCTTGAGGATACAAATATGAACTTACAAGAGTTAGTCAAAAATTGGTAAAAATAGGGCCTTTGCTCGAGCACACACTTGGTTGCTTAAGTCGTTTGCCAAGACTGCAAAAGTACTAGATGCTTAATTTTTTTGCTCGAGCCAAGTGCTGAATAAAAGTGGGTTCACTTGAGCTAACGGCCAAATGTTTGCAAAAATACTAGATGCCTTCATTTTTCCCTTGAGCGACGGATCCTTCGCTCGAGCGAATTGGGCGAATTTTGGGTTTTCCAGATTTGTGTTTGGAGTTCAAAAGCAATGCTCTCATGTCCAAACCTTGAATGGTTGGCCTCAAAAGCTTAGAAACACTTTTTAAAACATGTATCTTTGGAAAATATGAAACCATGACCTCAAATTCGCTTTCACTTCTTCAAAACAAAACTCAAAACATCATGTCCTCAACATGCATGTGACAAACTCAACTCTTTTCTTTTTAAAACATGTATAAGTGAAATGTTGAGTGCAAAAACATGAAGAACTCTAAGAAATAACTTGTGTAAGACTCATGCATGTGTGAATTTGACAAAACCAAGTTCAAAAGATGAAGAATTATGCATGCATGTACATAATTCACTCAAATTCACCAAACCCTTATTGAATCATGCTAATTTCTTTCAATTACATGCCAATGGTCCTACAAAGTGATGAATTCATCTGCCTACATGGATTAACTTCATGTAGGTGAGAATTATACCTAGAGCTTAAATCATGCCTTAGTTAAGCTAATCGTCTTTAATTCCCCTTAAGCCTCTTGAATTATCTTCTATCTCTCTACAAATGTTGAACTCTTTCTCTAGCTTTCCAATTTGCAGTACAAAGTTGTCGTAAAATGAAGTCTAAGCATGTTTAACAAATATATATAGGGTGATTAAGGTCTCGCTAATCACCTATGCTTACGGCTAATCAAGAGGGCTTAAATCTAATCAATCATGATTATTTTATTCTAATTATTTTGATTCGAATCAAATTTTAATTAAACTTACCATATGATTCTAAAAATTTCAACTAACCTATTGACTTAACCAATTTTGGTTTTTGAATTCATTTGGGCTTTCAATTTTGAATTCTAAGTCGGCAATTAAACAGATAACTCATAAACAAACAAGTAAGTGTCAAAGAAACACATAAAACACATAATTATCTGAATAAAATAATATGTAAAAAAATGATAAGAAGGTCGGGGTCATTACAGTATACGTCCTTTATTTTCAAGCATAAAAGGCATTCTCATATTAACATGTGTCATGGATAATAGATTACATAGCTTTGAAAAAGCCTTAATTGGAGGAATTGAAAATAATTTGTATAATGGACCAATTCAGATCACTATCAAACCAAATTATTTCTTAACATTGGAAGATAGATCCTAATCTTAATCAAGTTTTGAGATTGAAAATAAAAACTCAAGGTATGAAAGACCATGATGCAAAAAGCAAAAACGTTACTATTAATTATAGGCTTATGTATAGAGTGGTTAATGCAGTTAATCCTCTTCGTAAATATGTATCTGAAATATAGCAATTTTATAAATAAAAAAAAAAACGATTGCTCACACTCGAAAATTTCAATTCAAAAAGGTTAATGTAAAATAATTATCATGGCCTAAGAAATAGATTATTGGAGAAACTTCAGATCAAAAAAATCTCAAAAATCTAACAATTTTAAAAAATAGAGGTGTTGTTTATCTAGAATAACCTAGACAAAAATCAACAACTGATTTTGTTACTAGATCTAGCTCTGTAAATAGTCAAAATAAAAATAAAAATAAATAAATTAAGATAAGGGTATCATTGACGAATCTAGTATACAAGGAAGTTTGGGAAAAGAGATAACAGGATACAAAGTAATAAGTATCCCTGTTTCAAATAAATCTTCATAAAAAATATTGATCGAAGAATACCAAAACTTAAAAAATGATTTCTATAGATAATCTCTCAATTACTATAAATACAAAATTAATGAAAAAAGGATTATCAGGTGAGGAACTCCAAAAAGGCGTAGAAGAAATATTAAAAAAAAAATATAACTAAACATATGAGTGAAAAATCTCAACAAATTTTTAGAAAAACAATTAAAGTTAGTCCTACAAATTTATATATTGAATTATTATTCAATTTTCTGGGCTATCATTCTTATACTTTTGATGCATTAGTTGTCCTGTGCTTCATATAGTGTGACGAAACCTACAGTATTACCTTATGATAAATAGATTTTATCTGAAAATCTAATTTTATTAAAATTGATAAACGGTCAATTAGTAACTATGGAATATGAAAGTTATCATGTTCTTGCTATTTTTAATTAAAAACAATTTATAATAGAATGAATAATTCAATTCCCATTTTTAGATAGAGATTTTGTAGTTGGCATTGCATTTTGAAACAAGAAGAAAATAAACATTTTCTTCAAGATCAATCATATATTACTCTTAAAATGCATGGAATTCTATTGCTAAAATATGTAGCTTAAAAATGTAAATTTGATTTTAACCTTGTTAAAATTACAAACCCAAATTTATTGACCCCTATTGAACCTCTCTATGCAATCTAGCGTGGTAAGCTTAAAATAATTAACGTAGACAAAGAAAAAAAACTTGGCAACAACTATTTGAAGATGAAATTTACAATGAAATTAACACTATTACTGATAGTGAATATGAAAGTGATAGTGAAGAAGAAGAAGAAGATGGACAATGGATTACTAATATCACAAATGAGTATCAAGGCAAATAAGGAAAACAATGAAAAGAAATTCCGAGTTTAGATAGTAGTAAGAAAATATTAAAAAATAATGTTAGTGACAACCCACTAAAATTATAAGAGAAAGACAAGCCTGAGGCAAAAATA